GCGGATTATGTGCCCTGGAGAAAAACCAAATGGCCCACCACCACAGGAGAAAGCAGCCCGAGGCGGGCAAATCGAAACCAGAGAGGAACCCTCACTTAAACCCTCGAAATAGCCCTGGCTGGCGTGGCTCAGTGGACTGAGTGCCAGTCTGCGAACCAAACAGTTGCCAGTTCGATTCCCAGTCTGGGCACATGCCTGGGTTGTGGGCCAGGTCCCCAGGAGGGGGCGCTCAAGAGGCAACCACACATTGATGTTTCCCTCTCTTTCTCCCCCCTTTTCCCTCTCTAAAAGTAAATAAATAAAATATTTTTAAGGGGGTGTGTGGGTTTTGGGCTGCGCCCAGTTTTTTTTTCTTCTTTCCCTTTTTCTTTAAAAAAAAATATTTTTAAGAATTAAATAAACCTGCAAAAATAAAATCTGTACCAACTCACGGTACAGATTCTGTGAAAGAAATAAATATATCTTCATAGGTTTCTGGCGAATCAGTGAAGCTGTTTGACGGGGAGACGGAGCAAAGCCCCCAGGGACCGTGGAGCGTCCGTGGCAGGTGCTGTAGTGGCCCGTGACAGAATTCTCCCAGAAAGGAGTGGGGAAAAGAAGCAAGGCACACGCACGGAGGGTCATTTATCACAGCAAAACCCCGGCAGTGGCCGAACGGGCTGGATGGAGAAATCGGGACCAAGCACTGGCCCTCCTGCCATGGAGCCGGCTGTGCCAGGGGTGAGGTGGACTCCCTGGCCTTGCTGCCCAAGGAGAGCACGTGGGAGGAAGCGGGTTCTCCACGTTCCGCCTGAGCCAAGAAGCTGGGGGGAAAGGGAACTCAGACTGCGGACCACCCGTTCCAGGGTGTGCCCCACAGGGCGTCCTGGGCACAGGTGTCCACGGTGTGCACCAGGCAGGCTGGGCTGTGCCCACGCTCCCTGGAGGTCCCCACCCCTGCAGAGAGGACAGGCGGATCCCTGGGCCCGAGTGCTCGGGGGAGGTCCCCCCTGGACGGATGGATCCCGGGAGACCCCGTATCTGGGCTTTCTGGAGCAGGGTGAGTGCTGGGGGGGAGGTCGGCCTTCGGAGGGGCACTGGCTCCGGTCCCCCAGCGGGCCGACCCCACCGCGCACAAACCACGACACGTGGGACACTGCACAGCAGTCCACACCCCGTCACCACTGCCATCTGCCCCACCCGCGCTGTCCTGCTCCATCCCTGGGCCAGTGTCAGGAGGATGCCAGCGACTCGGTGACGTCGCCCGCTCACCTTCCTGGGCGGCGAAGTCCCATCTCCATAGGCTGACATCTGCTCCCTCCGTGCTGCTGGGGGCGGAGCCAGAGTGGTGTGTCCAAGGACGGGCAGAGAGTCCATGTCCCACCTGCCTGCTCTCCTCCCACTCACGGCGGGACCTGCATGGTGCTGTCCCTCTTCTGACCTTCCACATTCTGACACGGAGGCCCGATTTCACCCCCAAACTGAGGAGGCTGCAAAACAGGGCACCTGAGCACTAGATGAGAGAAGACACACAGCTGGCCCGGTGCTCAGTTACCACTGCGTCTGGGGAAGCACCGTGGCCTCTCCCTGGGCCAGAAAGACACAGAGCTGGAGAGAAAGTGATGCCAATGCCCTCGGGTGTGGGAAGGGGGCCTGCACCCTTCTCCTGGCTCCTGGCGTCCCCCTGGGGAGCAGGCATGGAGACCCGGCCCCTAGGACCCAGCACGGCGTGCCCCGGTGGACGCCAGCATTTACCAGTCCGGGAGTTTTAGGGCAGAGGGAAGGGGGGCCCGGGTGGGACAAAGGCGAAGGCGGGTTCTTTGGGGGCTCGCCAACTCTGGTGTCTCCCCTGCTCAAGGCGGCGCCTCAGAGCCTGCAGCTGGGCGGGAAGGAGGGGAGCTGCAGACGGGCCTCTGGTCTCCCGAGTCCGCCCGTCTCGTCTCCGTCTCCGGGACGAAGCCCGAGGTGCGGTCACCCTCAAACCGGCCACGTCTCGCTGAGTTTCCCTTTCTGAGATTCTCCTCCTCCCTTGCTCTGCTCTCTCTCCCCGCCTGGCACCCACAGGAAGCGCTCTGGAAAGGAGACTTCCTGAGGCCGAGTTTGCCCTCGTTCTCCGCAGGTCCCCAAATCAGATTATACTCCCAGCTAATAAACTCGATTACAGTTCATCTCCATCAGCTGAGGGAGCTGGCCCTGGGACGGAGCAGACAGGGCCGGGTGCAGAGGGCGCCTGCCCCACCGACCCCACCCGCCCTGCGGGGACCTGCTCCAGGGGCAGGTCTGGCACCCCACGGGTGGTCCCACAAGGAGGGGCTCAGGCCCGGCGGCCGGGTCAGGGGCTGTGGAGAGCCCCTGCCCCCAATTCAAACCCAGAGTCACGCTGGGCTGCGGTCACGGGGCGAATGGTCACTGTGCCCAACCCCAACATGCAAAGGCAGAGCTGGCCCACCCTCCCATGGCAGGTCCCTCGAGAGCGCCCACTCAGGAAGTTTCCATTTCTGAGCAACGACGCACGGTGCCGCCGAGCAGCACTTTGGGGACAAGCCCACGTCCACGCCGAGGTCCCGCCCCGAACACCCGGCGCCAACAACCTGAAAACGCAGGCGCACACCGGACACCATTGGACTGGGAAGCCTGGCTGCCCGGTCGGGACAGGGGCTCAGCAGCAAAGCGTGTGGGGTGCTCCCCACCGCCCCAGCGAAGGAGTAGGCACCGCCCGGCAAGGTCCGGTGTGCAGGGTGTGCAGGGTGTGCTGGGAGGGCCCGTCGGTCACACACGTCATGTCAGAGAGAGGGGGACAGAAGAAAAGGGACACACCTGCTCACTTGTGCAAAGTGACAGAGGAAGGACAAGGCAGGGATGGAGGAGGTGGGCCACCTGCAGGGAAGGGTGGGGTGGGGGTGGGGACCAGGGGACGCCGCCCCTCCCTGGCCCGGAACCCCAGGGTGCGGTTTGTTGTCTGTGTCAAGTGCCCAGGCTGCGGTCCCCAGTCACTGAGCCGGACGCGGCCCGGGTTCCTGGAGGTGGGGCTCACGTCTCGTGAGCTGGGTTTCCAGCGAGAAGGCGGCGTTTGCTGGTGCGCTGTTCAAAGGCACTGAGGCCGAGTGAGGGGTTCGGCCGCACTGGACTTGCCTGAGCCCACCATCTTGGGAGACAAGCCCTTGAAACAAATTTCTGAGGTCAGGTTCCCCACACCAGGTTTAAAGGGGAGTCCACCCACATCCTCGCCTGGCCTGTTAGCGTGGTTTCCTTGGTTACGTCTAGATCCCTACTGTGAACATCAGTGTGTGTGTGTCTCTGTATCTATCATCTGTCTGTCTGTCCGTCTCCCCGTCTCCCACACACCATTCCTTCAGAGAAGGACCCGGGGCCTCTCGGAGAAGGGGTGGGGCCGGAATGGCTCCAGATGAGGCTGGACCCCCCACCCCATGACACCGGAATGTGAGGACGCACCCCCAGAAGGACCGGGCAGGTCGCAGACATGGAAGGCAGGCGGAAGGTGCTCTAGCCATGTGGCACATGCCATGTGATGTGAGATGTCACGTAGCACATGCCAGGTGATGTGAGATGCTGCTGCCTGAGTGAGGACTTTGCTCCCTCCATTATCTTGGTTTCCTTCTCAACGTTGTTTTCCTCCACCGATTCCAGAGAGAGGGAAGGGGAGGGAGAGGGAGAGCAACAGGGGTCCGTTGCTTCCCTCGCACGGGCTCCGATGGGGCGCGACCCACAGAAACTGGCGAGCCCTCACTTTGCAGGGAGACGCCCCAGGCACTGGGCCACATGGGCCAGGGCCCAGGTTTCTCTCTTGAATAAAAGAATTTCCTGGTGCCCTCACCCTCCCCATGCTTTTGGTCCCAGCTGCGTCACCACGGGGCTGTGACGATGGAGGGCTCTCCCGGGCCTGGGGGACAGTTGCTCCCACTGCAGGCCCGGCCCCGTGGGAACCCGGTGGAGGTGGTGGCGGTTTCTAGCAACGTCACCCCGTCCCTGGCTGGGCGGCCGGTTTGCAGTCCTGCTAACAAGCCCACGGTCACTGAGGCAGAGGGGCGAGCAGAGCGTGCACCCCCCAGGGCCCGGGGCGTGTCCGAGGATGACGGGGACAGTCTTTCGCTGCAACACAGGCCGTCCTGCCGAGGCACAAGGCCACTGGGCCTGAAGAACGGGCTGTTCTGTTTTCCACAACCTTCCCCCACCAAGTTCTTACCCACTGACTAACTTTTCAGTTTAGACGAGATCGGGAGCGTCCAGGGTGGTGTGGCCGTTGACAAATTTTCAGTTTAGAAAACGAGACCTTGCAGGAGAAGAATGCGGGGACACTGCTGTCCCCGGGCTCCCGCTGGCCTCTTCACACCAGGTTCTGCTCAGGCTCCAGTGGGCTGTGGAGCCCGTCCCCTCCCAGGGGACAGGGAGGTGGCAATGGACCCCAACAGGTGGGAAGAGGGGCGTTTAGGCAGGAGGACTGAGTCATGAGGGGAAGGGATCTGGGCGGGCTACCCTCTGTGGGGGGCCGCGGGCCAGCCTGCAGCGCCAGCCTTGCCACGACCCCAGGGAGCTCCCAGCGGAGAACAGGGTGGGAAGGACAGCCGCGGCCTGGCCACAGGGACCCAGCGAGCCAGCACGACACCCCTGCACAATGGGGTGCCCGTCAGCGCCTTGGCCCCCACGGTGGCTGGGCCCTGTTGTCCGTGGTCCCCGAACGCCTGCACAGGTGTTGGATGGGCCACAGGCTCATCGGGCTGGACACTGTCCCAGTGGGACCCTGCGTCTCGTGCCTCCTCGGGGACCCCTGTGTGAGGCCTCAGGCCACTGCCGACGCCTTCTGCCCCTCACTGTCCACGCTCCCCTGTCACTGGCCCCTACCTCCCCCTTGGTCTGTCCCCCACCCAGGGCCACGTCCAGTCACCCCGGGACTGTGGTGAGGAGGCCCTCACGCGGCCCCCAGTGGAGTCCTTGCCCCAGGCCCCGTGGCCCTGAGGCGCCCCCAGCCCCGTCCCTCCCACCGGGGGATGCAGGGGACTCACTCGATGGTCTTGTCCCAGTCGCACCAGAGAGTGGTCCCCACGGCCTCCATCTCCGCCTGGAACGGGGCGAGGCAGAGCTCCCGCAGGAGGGCGCCGGGCGCGGGCTGGCTGGCTGCCGCGAACAGGTGGTGCACTGCAGTGACAGGGGAGGGGACGGTCACCTCCGGCCCAGCTGCCCGCCCGCCCGCACCCCCCGAAGGTCAGGGCTCCCTTCCCAGAGGCGGGGGTGGGGGCGGTGGTGACCAGGGGTGTGAGGGTCCAGGGGAGGACGGCGCTCCCCTCCGGGTGGGGACTGTCACTCGTCCCAGGAGTGAAAGGTGGCACTGGTCTGACACTCACATGCTGCTTTACCCTCGCCTGACCCCAACCTGTTCCCAACGCTTCAGACGTGGAAGCCGAGGCAGCGGGAGCGACTTGGGGGGTCCGGACCCAGGCTCACTCCCAGCGTGAGGAGGAGGAGGCTCGCCCTTCCCGGGGGGTGGGAAGGCTGGCACAGCGAAACATGGCCCTGTCCCAGGGCCTGCGGGGACTGGGCCACCCCACCCAGCCCTGGAGCCCCCAGCTCTCGTCCCCTGTGCCTGACGGTCACTGATGACAAAAAGCCAACCGTGACCTGACGTGTCCTATGCTCCCGCCTGGGTAAGTGCGTGACCGAAAGTGAGAAGCTGTCACTCAGGCATTGGGCTTAGGGAATCGAAACTCTGCCCTCCCCGAAGCCAAAGCCGAGGCCGCTCTGGCGGGTGGCGGGCAGGCGGCCGCCCCCGGGTCCCTCATCCACAGGCTCGGCTCTGTCTCCTCTCTCTGTGCCGCAGGTGGGGGCGGAGCCCTTCCCAGACCCGGGTCAAGGGCCCCGTTAGGCTCAGGCTGCTGGCTCGCCTGCTGCCCCGGCCACCCTGGGTGCTCTGCCAGCTGCTCCGCCTGCCCCACTGAGACGCCCCCGAGCCAGCGCACCTGTGGGACAGGGGAAGCCAGGCTCCCCGGGGCTCAGACACCAGAGGAGGGGAGGAACTGGGAGCCACCACCCAGGAACGGCCTGTGCTCCTGCCCCTCCTCCACCTCCCCCCCCTCCCCAGGGCCCACGCCCAGGCCCACTTCCTCAGCGCCTCCTTGGGGCGGGCAGAATGTGTCCTCCTCTGAGGGCGGTTTGTGCCACCCCGGCCCCTCCCACTCTACCCTGACACATGTGCATCCTCCCAGCCGCTGGGCCTGTTACCATCTGCCAAGCCAGCAAGATGGCGACCCCCGGCTTCGCTCTGCGAGGGGCTGGCTGGGGTGGGGGTCTGGGCCCGGCGGGTCCCCTCCCGCTCTGGAGGGCTGGTTTCAGGGAGAATGAAGATGACTGTGGGCGTGGTCTGGGTGACTCAGGGCTCTCTGCTGCACACGACGAAGCCACTCGGGCTGGTGTGATGCTGGGAAGCCTGTTACAAGGACGCTGGTGGCTCCCGAGTCCCCAGAGCGTCAGATCATTCAGCAGGGCTGGTCGCCAGGGCAGGCAGGGCGCCGCCTCTGTCCCCGGCAGGGGAGTGCGGGTGCTGGGGGCCAGGAGGGCGTTGTCCCCAGACCACAGTCCCTCCCGTCGAGGTGTCCCTCCCAGCGTACTCAGCTCAATTTCTCCCTGCTTCCTCTACCACAGACGACAGCCCCCCGGCCCACACCCCTGCCCTGCCCTGGCCCACAGCCTCAGTGTCCCCCCCCCAAACCGGCCAGAGCATGGGCTGCAGGGCCTGCCCCCTGGCCCGGCTCTGAGCCGGTCACCTCGGCCTCCCAAGGGTGGGACCCTTGCTCTGTGGGCGCGGAGACCTGCACTTCCCTTCCTGCCCTGGGGCAGCCAGAGCCCCCTGGTTCTATTTGCAGCTCCCACCCCGGGGCTGAGGGGGGCCGGGCCACCAGCCAGGGTTAGGGGGACAACTCACACTCTCCCGCCAGCCCAGAGAGGTCGCTTCTGTGAAGGAGGCAACATCACAGTTTTTGGACTAAATGAAACTCCCAGAGTTTAACCACTGACTGTTCACGCTCTGTGCCCGTGAGATCTCGGGTTGACCCAGCCGTCAGCCAGGTCTCCCCGAGGCCGGGCAGCTGCAGGGCCTCCTTCCTGCGGGTCCCGGCATCACCTCCCTGGCAGTGCGTCCCCGGGAATTCAGGGAACCGGCCCCGAGAGGAGGACACGTGGCTGATGGGGGCGTGAGGGTCCCCCAGGTGCGGCACCAGGGGCAGCGGCTCCCCTGGGGGCCTGGGCTGCGGAAGCAGGGCAGGCCCACTGAGGCCAAGGGCTTCCAGGCTTCTGAGGAGAGATGCGGCCCGGCCGTCCCTGGCCCGTGTCTGCACGTGTGGCAGGAGGCTGACCCCACATTTGGAGCCCGAAAGCACAGCCTCCCCTTTGGGGCCATGAGCTGGGGCCCCTGGGGAGCAGCCCGGTGCCTCCAGGGACCCTCCACACCCCTGACCTTCTGGGCGGCCATGGAGGGGGTCCCCCAGCTCCCACAGGCCTGCTCCCCTCTTGACCACAGTTTCTTTACCTAAGAAATGGGACCCCCATCCCCCAGCTGGGTGGGCTAACAGGGCTGCTTCCCAGGGATGACGCCCTTAGGGGCAGGACCCCACCTCAAATCGAGTGCCCCATCCCTGCGGGGTTCCAGGGTGAGCTGCCCTCGGCGACTCACTGGACCCTGGGGTCCGGGGGGACTCGGGCCAGGGCCGTGACAGAGGGCACAGGACACTCCCCCAGGTGCTGAGCACCGATCTGCCCTGGCTCGAGTCCACACGGGTGTGCACGCGTGTCGGAGCCTCCGATTGCACATGTGAGCGTGTGCAGTCCTCCTAGGCCGATTAACGACGCCAGGCGCGGAGGAAACGCCGTCATCGTGGGTGGTCGTTGTCATCTGCCTCCCGCCCTTCTGTACCCGCACGGTTGCGAACATGTCCTTCATGAAATACCGTCTTCGTGTCCCCTGTTCTTCCTCCCCCGGGAGCCACGGGGGAGGACCTTGCTCGGCAGGTTCGGCTGCAGCCCAGAATCACTCCCCGCTCCTCGGCCAGGGCAGCCGGGTGAGGGCCGCCCACTTCCAGCCCCAGGGAGCTGCCCCCCCGCCCCCCAGGACTGAGTGCCCGGAGCGAGACGTCACGAGCGCTTGGTTTGAGCGTCTGAAAGAGGAAAACCAAAATCAGGACGGCGAGGAGCTGAAAACACGGACTCCGTGTCTAGTAAAAATTCCTACTCAACCGTCAGGACCCAGCCAACTGTGGCCTCCTGTGCCCGCACAGCACCTGGCCTTGTGACCGTGACCTCGGAGCCTGTGCCTCCCCTGGACCTGGGCTTCCCGTAAGTTTGGGGGGCTGGCAGCACCTCACAGGAGGGAGGGCATGTGCTGGGGGGGCAGCCAGCTCCTGGCCAGTGACGGCCAGCACTCCGGGTCTGCTGCAGCTTCTAGAAAGCTCTGAGTGGTTCGGGCCTGTGACCTGGCACAGTGTCACGTCTTGGCTCCTGATGGTGCCTGTGGCCCTATCAGGAGCCACCTCTGCACTCCTTCTGGAAGCCCGTTGGTCAGGGTCCGGGTCCATCACAGGCCACTTCCCGAAGTCACACAGCCCTGAGTGGTGGGGCGGGGATGCTGGCCTTAGCACCCTCGGGGCAGAGGGTGAGGTCGTCTGGCCAGCTCTCGTGGAAGTCTGGTGGCAGGCAGGCCCCTGAGGGGCGAGTCCAGCAGAGGCGCCCCCAGAGCTCAAGGTCACCTGAGAACAAGGGCCCAGTGGCTTCCGCTCTGTGTCCCTGCGGGGCCGGCGTGTCCCATCACTCTCACTGGCGCCCACCAGGGGTACGACACCCTCACAGAACGGCGAGAGGGTTTTCTTGATTTTACAAACGGATCTCCGCAGCTCGCAGGTTGAAGAAGTTGATTTCCGCATGTGTTTCCCACCCCACAATGTGGCGTCGCAGGCGCCGAGAGGCCACCGGGGCAGCATGGCCGCCTGGGGACTTCACCGACAGGCAAGGGACAGTTTAGAGACGAACCCCCCCCACCCTGGAGGCGATGAGGGGCCCCGACCGGAGGGAGGAGTTCCCGGCCTGCTGGAGCACCCCTCCTGCCCCCCTCTTGTCTGGTGCCCCCCCCCCCCGACCTGGCCCGTGTCACCAGCGCACCAGGGCCCGCAACCTGACATCCACGGAGGGGTCACAGCCCGGCAGGTGGCCAGGTGGGACGTTAGATGGCTCTTCCTGGGCATCATACCGACGGTTTACGCACCAAAAGCGGGCTCGTTCTCTACCCCTCTCCCGCCACCGCCCCTGGAAAGTAAAGTAAAATGCACCTGGCCCGCACCTGGCCCCCAAGAGAACAACTCAGGTTTGTTGCCCTGAGCCAGGAGGAAGGGGCGGCCCCCCTCCCGGCGGGAGCTGGGCGGGAGTGGGGGCCGGCGCTGGGCCGTCCTTGCCGGGCACCCGAGGGGAGGGAGGAAGAAAACAGAGCCAGGAGCCAGCTCTGTCCACAGAGCGAATTCCCAAAAAAGGAGTCTTCCTCGACCCCACAGCCCCCGGCTGGAAAGCGCATGGGGAAGGACCCCACGCAAAGCAGGAAAACATCCCAATCACGCCCACTCTCGGTGGCAGACTGAACCCCACACGATTCCCAGAAACTGAACAAGCAGCCTGCAGGTGGACAAAGGGGGGGGGGGGGCGGAGGGCTGCCCCTGGGTGCACATCCTCCCCGCCCATCAACGATCAACCAGTCGATGATGCTGTTGCCATTCAAATCCCAATGGACATTTAGCTCAAAAGCCAGCAGGCATTCCAGACCAGTGGGATGTTTTTGTGAGGCTAAGGAAGACCTTTCTGATGACCTTCGTGACAAGGATGAAGCCATGCTGATGACCGCTTTAGCTTCGCCGCCCAGGGCCACCCCCACCTGAGGCTCTCTCCCTGCCCCAGGCGTGTGCGGACACCTGCCCCCGCCACGGTCCCTGAGTGTCCAAGGCGACACCAACCCGACGTGGCTGCTGTGGATGGAGCTGCCAGCCTTACAGTAAGAGTGAAAACAGAAGACATTTGAATGTTGGAAAAACACAGCTTTTTTAGTATCAGTATGTCCGCAACATTTCATGAGACATACGTAAATAATTTGTCATCAGTCTGAAATTTGAGTCTGACCGGGGCCCTGGGTCTCGGCCAGAAGCCCCAGCCCGCCCAGGCCCGGGGCCTGGCTGACCTTGACCACCACTTCCTCCAGGCCCAGGCCCAGGCCCAGGCCCAGGCCCACAGCCGCCCTTCGCTTTCGCCTCTGGAATTCTTGGGGTCCCCCCTCCCTCTGAAACCTCCGCCCTCACCCCCCAGGCCCCCGGCCCTGGTCCCTGCCTCCGCTTCCTCCCCAGCCCGCACTGTGAGGGAGCCTTTATGTGAACCTCTGGTCTCTTCTGTTTAATGTCCCGCAGGTTGCCCTTGGCCCTGGGAGAGAAACTGAGCTGCCCACTGGGTCCTGCGGCCCAGTCCCAGGTCGAAGCGCTCCCCTGGCCCTCCTGCGCTCAGTCGGAAGGTACCAGAATCGGGGCCTGTGCGTGGCAGCCCCCAGGTAGGAAGCTCTTCCTGAACTCTTGGGACTCAGGTCTGGGCCCCACCCCCAGCTCCATGCCCTTGGCTCTTTCTTCCCAAAAGCAGCACCGTCTGTGCTCCTCCTGAACATGGAACAGGGTCTCTCAGCACCGCCCCCACCCCTGCTGGGCCGCTTTCCGTGTGGGGCTGCTGGGGGCGCCGTCATTCCGGAACCCTCTCCCAGCCACGACACCGAGTGACCCACTTGTGTATGACAGGGAGGCACAAGCTTTCGGGAGGGTCAGGCCTTTCCCCAGCAGCCGCTGGCCGGCCATCTTCCCAGCCAGCAGGCAGCCTTATCTCTTCCTACACACGGACCCACGGAACCTTCCAGAGGCAGTGACGGCACACGCAGAGTGAGCCGCCCTGTGTGCCGGGCACTGAGTTTCCGTCTCAGCGACTGCTCTCGAGAACTTTCCCTCGAGCTGCGGGGGCCGAGAGGCGCTCCCACCCCCCATTGCACGTGCAGCCCCGAGGCAGGCATCGGCCTCCGGGTGTTTGCTGGTTGCTCACGGCCTTTTGCCTTCGCAGGTGGCCTCTGGGAAGGACCCTTCTCGGTGGGCCTGGCAGGCGTGGGGTGCAGAGCCCTGGGGAGCAGGGTGGGCCCCAGGGTGGTGCATGGGGGTGGCCCGGGAGGCCTGGGAAGTGGGCGGTCACTGGGGAGGGCCCGGGGGACCGGAGGACAGCGAGCAGAGGGCAGAGTGGACATGGGCCAGGTGGCAGAAAGGACATCTGGGGTTCTGGTCTCTCTGGTCACACAGAATCCATCGCAGGGACCCACGTGGGGGGAGGGAGGGGGCAGCAGGGAGCAGAATGAGGGAGACGCCGTGAGACCTAATGAGAGTGAAAGAAAGGCTGGCTATGCCACTAGCCGGAAGTCTTGGCCGGTGCATCCGGCTGACCTGCTCTGACAAATACCCTTGGGATCTGTGCTTTAAACAAGGATGGAAGCGCTGTCTCTGCATGTCAAAGAAAACACTGAAACTGAACAATCTTCGGGGAGAGAAGTGTTTCCAGGGACAATCCCTCCATTGTGCTCCGATGAAGGCGTGCTTGTTCAGGTCGGGAGCCCCCGCCCCGCTGACGCAACCCTCCCGGTCAAGAACACCCGGGTTCTCCGGAAACCCTGTGCAGCCTGGGGCCGCTCCGCTCTGGGGGGGGGGGGGTCGGTGCTGAGGACACCCCTCTGGGGGCTCAAGGGGGGAGTTGGGGGCCCAGGAGCACCTCCGGTGTGGCCTCTGGGGATGGAGCGGAGAGCCCCGTCGGCACGGCGGTGGTCTCTTCACCTGCCTGGAAGAAGGGGCAAGGCAGGCGTCACAGGCCTGGCGTGCCCACTGAAGCCACAGTGGCCACCGCGGCCACCTCCCCTTCCCTGTCTCTGAGGTCCTGCTCGCCCCCCTCAGCCATAGCATAGCATCTGCCCCTTCAGGGGGTCTTCCCCGAGCCCCCAGGCCGACCAGAGCCCCTTCTCAGAGCCTGTTCCACAGAGCGCCTGCCAGCCACCACCAGGCACTGCCCTTCGAGGGGCCCGCCCAGCTCAGACATGACTCGGCCACAGGGTTGAGAAGTCCACCCCATGGGCTCGGCCTAGGGGCTTGCATGGTGTCGGGAGAGCTCCGTCCGGTCACAGGCAGGTGCCCTGTCCCTCCATGGCTCACAGGCCCAGTTGACGCAGCAGAAAGCAGAGGGTGCAGCCCGAGTCCCATGCTCTCCCTGAGATGGCCCCGGTGGCAGGCCAGGGCCTGCTGAGGGGACAACCCACAGTGCCAGGTGGGCCTAGGGACAGAGAGGCTCTGGCCCCAAAGAAGGGGACGCAGGGAGCCAGCCTGCCAGGCTCCCCTCTCAGGGGCCGGAATGGACACCGAGTGGGGCTCCTGCAGGTACCCGCGTCACCCCTGCTGGACGCCGGTTTGATGGAGGAGAAGCTGTGACGTGGGTCAATCTGGGGGGGAAACCCGGAGGAAGAGACTTTCCCAGGGAGCTGTTTGCCTGAAGAAAGGGTTCTAAGTCAACATTTCCTTGACGTGTTGCTGACCGCCACATCCTTGTGGACACGGACATTTCTCAACAGCCCTGGCCTGGGACCGACCACATGCACACTGACTGGCATGTGCCTGTGGAAGGGAGACAAGAATCTAGAAACTTCTCCCTGTGGGGAGAGTCAACAGACACACTGAGCTGATTAGCAAATGGGACTCCCTTGGATTTGGGCCCCAGGACCGGAAGTGTCTCAGACCAGATACTGCACAGCAGCCTGAAGTGGCCAACACACCACACTCCCTGTGACTTCCCAGGGGGTCACAGTGACCCTTGGACGGGCAGAAAGTCAGACCTTCCCGAGATTACGGCAGCCTTGAAAGTGAGCCCTGCACCCCCAGCACGGCCCAGGGCGGGTTGCTGGAGTGCCGGCCTGGGCCCGCCCTCCTGAATGGCAGAGGGCTCACGAGAGCAGGACCCGCCACGCAGTCCCACGGAAGGCCCTCTCTTCCGACCGACGAGAAACGGTTTGGCGGCTACACACGCAACTCCCAAAAGGGGTGCGGGCTCCGAGCCTCCTGTAAACAGGAGGGTGCTCACCTGGCCCAGAGCGGAGAGACGTCTCCCAGACAGGGAGACCTTCACAACCGCGGGCAGGAAGCAAGCAGATTGAGCAAGAAAAGTAGCTGGATTGGAAGCACCGCTGCAGATGAGCTCCCGAAACCACGAACCAGTGAACTTAAAAAAAAAAAAAAGACATTCCACCTTGCCCTTCTGGGCAGCGAGGTCTTCCTCACCAGGGAGATCTGGCCGAGGCCACAGCATGGGCAGGAGACAGCGTGGGCCCCACATTCTCCAGATCACTGCTGGGCTCCAACAACAAGAACTTACTAATAACCTCATAAAGGCGTGTTTACTTTTTCCAAGACACAACATGAGCCAGGCCCCTCAGAATAATTTAAGATTACAGAACCTTGGACTCTCACCAGAACGTGCGAACCTTTCGTGGTAAACAAGGAAGGCCTTCCCTTCCAGGCACTCACGCCACTGTTCTCCTCACGCAGGCTTCACTGGGTGCAGCTCCCACACGCCACAGAAAGCATTTGTTTATGTTAAAAAACAAAACCCAACAACAACAAAAAGAGGACACAGCCCAGCTCTCTGCCTTGCTACAGAGAAACGTTCATTTCTTTGGAAACCAAAACAGTAAGTTCCCTGTCCGGCCAAGCAGATCCTAACACAAAAGAAGAGACTAATATTATTTTAAGATTTTGCTTTACGCATAACTTCAGCCCGAACACTTAAGAGGCGAGCTCAGTTTTCAGATGGTATTCTATTGATGCCGAGGGTTTCCTGCGGATCTCACGCTCCTTGGCCAGGTTTCTGAATAGTGAGAACCCTGAAATGGCAGGGTGCCTGGGCTGTCCTTGGCCCCTCGCCGCCAGGGTCTGGGCCACCTCCAGGACAAGCCACCCTGCCCCCAGCTGCTTCCCCAGCTGCCAGAATAGCGCTGGGGTCACCCCTTCACCAGCACTAGCAGGTGCTGCCAACCACACCACGCCTTCCGGGGAAAACGTCTTCCCAGGGCCGCCGGACTCCTCCGCTTCCACGGCCCATTTAGTTTATATTCAGAGGCATTGAAACACACCGAGTCCGAAAGCTAAAGCCACTTAAACAGATTCCTTAGCGTTTTATCAAAACCCTGGACTGGACAGTGAAGATGACAACTTTCTTTTTAAATTTTTCTAACTCTGGTGACAGGTCTTGTCCTCCCTGGGTTTCAGCTTAGATTCCGTCCCAAACCGGAAGCCGGCGCGCTCTGCCAGCGGCCCCCAGTCCCTCCTGAACGGCCGTCATCCAGAAGCGCGGCCGCCCCCAAGGGAGCGGAGGAGCTGGGGAACCGCCCCCAAGTCGCTGGCCCCCTTCTGCAGGCGGCCCTGGGGTTTCCTTTGCGAATCGGCAACCGCCGTGTGTTTCAGTGAGGTTTTCGCTTTTCGCTGATCTCGGATAAAGGGTCGTAGTTCTGACTCCCAAACACGCGGTCTGCCTGGTGCCTGCTCCCACACTTTGTCCCCGCGCGGTCTCCGCAGCTCCAGCGCGCGCACAGGGGTGTGGGCGGGGCCCTGCATGCCATAGTTTTCCTCCTGAAAAGCAGCGACTGGTGGGGTGCGGGGGAAGGTGCCTCGGGCTTTTAGGAGCTCCCTGGCCCCCTCCCCCGCGAGACCCCCCCCCAGCTGCCGCTCTTGCTGCCGCCCTCCGTGGACCCCCGCCTGTGCCCGGGGCCTCCCGTGAGCCAGAGCCACGGCGCCCAGACAACCGGTCAGCAAAGGGGACGCTCGAGGGGTGCACCCCGTGCTCTCACTGCGCCCGCCTCCTCTCTAGGGCGCCAGGCGGGCGGGTGAGGGGCCACGGCCCGGGTGGGGGTCCGGTGGCCGGAACGGGTCCTACTCACCCAGGAGCAGCCAGAGGCTGCGCTGCGGGAGGCCGCGCAGGCCCGGGGCCATGGCACGCTGCCTAGGGGAGCGGAGTCTAGTCCGCTCTCTGCGCGCCCCCACCGCGGTCTGAGCCGCTGAGCTCCAGGGGCGGGAGAGGGAGCGGGCGGGAGGCGGCCGGCCCGGCCCACTGCGGCTCCTCCTGTGGCGTAGGCGGGGGGGGGGGGGGCGGCAGCGACGCCGAGGGGGGTGCGGGGAGGGCCAGCACCTGCCGCCGCGGGGGCGCCAGGAGGAAGCTGCACTAACCAGGCGACCTGACCCACGCGAGTCGCCCCGACAGTGCGCAGCGAGCGCTGGCTCAGCGCGGGGAGGGTTGCGCCCGACCGACCTGACCCGACGGGGGAGCTGTGGGACCCTCCGTGGGGGCTGCACGCCGGGCTCAGGGGAGGCCGGCACTGCAACCCACGCCCTGGCGCTCCTGAAACGTCCTCCGAACAATGGACGCCTTAAAAACCAGGCGTGGTCTCCTAGACAGGGCTCCTCGGTCCCACCGGAGCACCACTCCCCTCCACTCTGTGGGTTCTGGCCATTCCCACCTGGGGCGGCGGGAAGGGATGGGCGCCCGGGTCTCGTTCAAGGCCAAGACCTCCCGTCCCCTCCCACCCCTCCCCTCCCGGCGGTCCCGATGCTGGGTCTCCTGTGGGGTGAACACTTTTGAGGAGGCTCATAGTAATAAAAAAGGACATGAGGACATCGAGGACTTGGAGTCGATGCTAGGACCCCGGGTAATGGGTAGCCTGGCAGGGGGAGGGGGCGGGGCGCGCAGCAGGAACGCAAGGAAGCCCTGGGGCCCGAAGGACCGACTCTTTGCCCGGGCTGAAGGCTGGCGCCAGCCCAGCCCCATGCACTTGTCGCTAAGGGTAGGCAGCGAGCAGCCAGGAGGCTACGAGGGCGCCGCCCAGTTCCGTCTGTGAACTTCCTCAGAGGGTGACAGCGTTGGGTCTGCCTTGCGAGTGGTCTGTCCCGCGTCTAGGTGGGGAACTGATGGGGCGTGAGGTGGGTGGGTGTACTCGGTTATGGAGTGACCAGAGGGGAGCTCCCTGGGTGACACTGGAGAGCCCGGGGATTCTGACGGCGCAGCAGGTGTCCCGAGGCAGGTTGGACGAGGAGACCTCAGCTGCGCTGGGGCGCTGTGCTGGCCTGGGTCTCCTCCCGCAGCGGCCCCTCCTTGTAATGGCCTCTTCGCAGGCGGACTCTGAACACTTGAGTCAATTGATGCCCGTGCTCGTGAGCTGCCCGCTGCTCCGGGCGCCGCCGGCACTTCCGCCGCGAAAAGGGCCGTGCCTAGGGCACAGCAGCCAGGACCGAAGGAGCGTTTCCCGGTGCTAAATGCGAGGGTGCAGAGCCACCTGCTGTCAGTCTCAGGAACGGAGGCAGCTGGCAGCCGAGTGTCGAGAGCCCCTGCTCCTGGACACGGGCGGGGCAGGTACTCAGGGGGCCCTTGCGCCCTGAGCACAGGGGCCAGGGTCCAGGGTCAGGGTCTGAATGGGACTTCGGGGGAGGACGCGAGCTGTAGATCAGAGCCTCCTTTGCCAACGGCGCCCCCCTTTCCTCCTGTCCCACACACATTTAAATCCTTCCTGTGTGCAGGGCCCTGTGCTAGGTAGACCAGGCAGAACCCAACCCCTCTTCCGTGGGAGAAACTTGCGGGGCCACCGCCCAAATCCCCACGGTAACGTGCACATCCTGGCACGGGACCGGACACGGGGCTGCCCCAGCTCAGCTGTGGTGTAAGACGGCTTAGGAGGGGTTGGGGGGGGGCGGCAGAGGACCCAAGGGGACTGCAGGCCGGAGCCAAGGGTCCGTGCGCAGGGACCATGCCACGGGAAAACGGCACTTTGGAAGTGTGGTCTGGCCCTGGGCCGGAGCTGGTGGCCAGCCAGGGGAAGAGCGCATGCTCCGTGTGTCCGTGAGCCCGCCCTCACCACCCAAGGCACCCTGGGCTCCTGGACCCCCAGCCAGCGCCCAGCAGGAGCCCTTCGCAAGCTTCCCTTTGAAGGGCAACCTCCGTTCTACTAGGTCCTGTAAATTGTTACTGTCAGGGAAGCTGAGTGAAGGGCACCTGTGAACTCTGTGCCCCGTTTGCAACTTTTCTGTAAAATTATTGCTGAATAACTGATTACTCAGGATGGGCTATGTGTCTGTGTGGGGAGAAGGGACGGAGAAGAATTCGTTTCTGGAACTGTCAACCAGGTAGGTTAATTCCTCTTTCTCGTGACTGCTGGCTTGCGTTTTTTATCACTGGTAACCAAGGGCCTGCTCGCACGTGGGTTCGGGGCCCACTGCATTCCAGCAGTGCCGGGCCGGTCACAGATATTCTCAGAGGGCAGGACTTTTGAAAAGCAGCACAGATGCAAGCCAGCAGGCGATCACCGAGGCTGGTGAAGTCCCTGTGCAGGAGGGGGCTCTTGCGTCCCAGCCCGTGCGGGGCGCTGTGCTTCACTCGGTGTCTGGGACAGCAGAGCCTTCCCGTCCCCTCCTCCTGCACGGGACACTGTGGCACTGCGCACCCTCTTAACGAGCAGTTGGAAACAGGCCAACTTTGGCTCTTGGTGTCCCGGCAGTCCCAGCGAAGCCATCCAGAGCAGTCACCGTGCACCATGTAAGTAACGGTGGCACTCAGACCTGTCAGGAGACCGTGACCTTCAGCCCTGACCTCCATCACGTCACAAAGACACAGTTCTATTGGGCTGACGTGACACGCACAGCTCACACGTAATGGCTGTGCCCCCCGAGTCAAAACCCAGGCAGCCGTAGGCAGAACCCGGGAACAGCCTCCCACTGCTCCCAAGTCTCGGAGAGGTGCAGTGTGCCTGTCTGGTACTGTGGTGTAACCCAGGGTCACAGACGCAACCGCAGCCTGAGCAAACATATTTACTGCCTCACACTTCCGGAGGTCAGAGGTCTAACGCATCCTACCAGGCTACCGTCAACAGACGTCAGCTCTAGGGGACAGTCGGTCCCTCGCTCCTCGCAGCTTCTAGAAGCCACCCTCATTCCCTGGTTCTTGCCGCCTCCCCCTTCAAAGCCAGCAGCGGTGGGGGATGCCTTTGCTCTGGTTTTCTTTTCTACCCATCCAGATAACCAGTCGCCTTCCTGCTTCCGGGTCAGCTGGTTAGCGACCGTCCTTGCTTCTGCAAACCTAGTGCCCTTTCACAGGGGCACGCTCCCTGGCTGGGATGTGTGTGTGTCCGCCAGGCAAACTGGGAGGAGCAGTGAGGACCACCCACAGTGAAAGGCAGCGACCGCAGGCGTGGGCGAGCCGGCCGCAAAGCTCCTTCCTTAAGAAGCGACCGCTGCATGGCGCATCTCAGTCACGCGTGTCAGCTTCGTTGACCAGAGCTGATGCTGGCATCAGGCAGAGCCACCTGGGAGTTTCAGGGCCACTGTCCCTGAGATAGCCTCAGGGCACTCACGACACCCCAGGTCTCTGGCCATCCATGAACTCGAACCCAGTGTCCGTGCCCTGTCCGTGCTCCGGCCAGCGTGCTCCCGGGCGTCCCAGCAGAGCCCGAGAGAGACCCGCTCTCAGCGACCGCGGGTGTGAGGATCACCGCTACTCCAGGTCTCCACTTTCCTCACTGCTAACTCAGAATGCAGCCTTTCAAGAGAAATAACCGTATGACTTTACTTGTGGGAAGAAACTTCCACAGTTCTAGGATTCTACTAATTTGATGTATGGCACTACCAATGAGACAAGGTTTCAAGTTTTAAAATTCCTGAAGACATTGGGTGGATCTGAAGACAAACTAATACGTGAAACAAAAGTCCGGGAAGAAGGAAAAACCCCACAATCCCGCAGTTGGGTGTGTGGCCTCCCCTCCGCGCCCTGTGTGAACACCGAGAGGCTCACTCACACATGCAAAGGGCCACCACACCTGCCAAAAGTACCGCAGGTATAGCCCTACTGTAGGTTCTGGCTTTATTAAGTGTAAATACATCAAACATAAATGCTAAGTGGGCAACTTTAAAGCAAGTGATACCAACAAACCATTAAAATGCTCTGAATGTTGTAAACATTTGGAGAAAATGCACACTTAATATCAGTAAAACTGCAGCTTTTAACAGTATGTTACTTTAAAAAAGAAATAAAGGCCCGTGTGTCGTGAGGCATACCAATGGACTTTGAACACGGGCCCCATGCACACTCTGGCCAAGTCCAGCACAACCAGGACCAGGTGAACGGTCACTAAACACGCGTGAGCAGTGCGGCAGCCACTTAACTTCAAGTCCCTCATCTGGGTGGTGAGATGGGCACACGGAGTTTAAAATGTCACCACCGCCACTTGGGGCTATGTTTGCAACTGCAATAAAAACTTTTAAATTAAAAAAAATTAAGTGCGTTACACAGTACGCCGGGCTCACACTTCCTGGGAAAACACATCTGTGCGTTGCACGGTGCAGCCACGCAGACGCACTAAGTGCGTCGGCAGTAATTGTCTCGGAAACACTTGACTACGTTGTCTCATCATCACAGTTTTTCCTGGTGCTGTAGAACATTTTCTGCAGGAGGGAACGCACGCTCTCCAAGGAAATTCTACAGGCCAGAAGAAGAAAGAAGAAACGTTACAACGCGTTGACTAGGCCAAATCCAACATTCCAGAAAAGTGCACTGTCACCGGTGCTCTACCGCTCGGACAATCCCGGTCACCGGGCCACTTACTGCCAACGTCGCCCACACTCGTTTACCCCGAGCACCCCCACCAGCAGCGCAGCGCTGAGCTCGCCCTTGGCAGTAATGGAGACGGGCCGCCAGACGGTGCGCGTGTGCAGAGAACTACTCAGATAGTCGGACTCTGTTCTCACAGAGGAAGCTGCATTGTCGTGGTGGTAAAACGCAGCACCGTCTTTGACAGGAAATCACTCAAGTGAAATGTGAAAGCTGTTTCATTCACTGCAGAGCACCTCAGCCGCTACCATAAAGGCAGACCCATAAATACTGGTTTACTACTGAGAACCGTTCCATAAAAATTATTTTAAAGACGAACACGACCACAGGACATGGATCCAAAGAGGAAGTTCCACCACCAAAGCTGCTCTAATGACACTACAGCCCCGCCCCACGGGCTGTCTGATCACTGCTTTGCTTTATTCCCATTGTCA